AAATAGTGAAACATGCAGCACATCATGAAATATTCAGCCAGGGTGTAAAAGCTCTAAATGCATTTTCAATTATTAGCACCTGCACTGGCTGCATACATGTAACACTAACAGCATGTTAATTGCCACAATTTGTTAGGGTAGTTGTAGGAGAAATTTCAAAGGCATGAGGCATTCTCTAGTGTGTCTTCAATTCATATCTTACCTTTAGAAAACCCACTCATTCCTCCTAAAATTAAGTACGTGTGTGCATACACTCCTAAACACACATCCACATACAAAGTCAGGTAGGAAAACCCATAATTCCTGGACCACACACAAGGTGAGTTTCAGGACCCCAAATCTTGAGCAGGAGACTGCGAAACATCTTTTCATGGGCAAAATCTAGATATATTGTATCTACCTTAGGAAGGAATAATTGCAGACTTTAACAAACACAGGTTAAATAATTGTGTTGTTCCCAGGGGGTGTTTTGCCACTGATTTCATATAAGGAGAATTTTATTGGGGGGCATAACAAAAAGTAGCCAAGACATAGTTTTACTGATGTGCAAAGTCTAACAGATTACAGTTTATTTTCAAACACTACCAGGGGCCCTACTGGTCATATAGTATTCTTCTTCCCAGTGTTCAACATATGGAGCAGTTCCACTGCAGATCAGTGAGGTATGTTGCTCTAATGCTCTATTGCATATGAATGATAGCAAAAGGGTTAAGACAAAAGTGACAGAATACAAAGGTATGCTAAACAATAACAATTTAATGAGGCAGCCATTTGGCCCCAATGGTCTTTTCAGTTCTGTCCATCCCCAGTCATTACTCAGAAGTTCCAGACTCAAAAACTCCCAGGTAAATAAGTTTGAAGTAGTTATAAATGTGAGCTAGTAAAGCAGTGCTCTTTAAAATGTAATGTTGACTTCCTCACAGTAGGTTTGCTGGAAGTGGGATTTATGGTTTTGCTTTAGGCTGTTGTCTTCCAGGCAGGCTTTTGGGGGTTGTAGATGTAGCATGGCACTTAGCATCATTTTCAAGTTTAATTGATGATAAGTGGCATTATATGCTCTTCAAAATCTTGAAAAGATGGCATTTTGCTCTTCATTTTAAGTCATGCATATGTAACATCTGCCATGAGAACCAGAGAAGCTATTTTTAATCTAGTGTTACGGATGAGGGCAATTTTAACTTTTGCTCCTTTTCTCCCATGCATGCTATACATACCTGTCGTTTCCTAGCTGGAATGACCAAATGCTTTGGTCATTGCAAGACATAAAAACCAACATCTAAGTTAAGACAAGCAGTATGGATTTTCACTGATAGAAGATGGTTTTTTTCCTATAATTTGAATTTTTCAAGCAGATGACTTTACAGCTCTGGAGAACATAGCTGCAGCGCTAATACAAACATTTCCACAGTAATCTACCAGTGTGACTCAAGCATTGCTTGACGGGGCCATCTTCAAGGGTGAGGGGTGCAGAGAGGCTCTAGAAACATTCAGTCCATGATTTGGCTATAAGGGCAACAAATGTGATGCTCTGTGTAATGCAAATTTTAATGGGAAGAGTGTCCAAACCCCTTAGCCAGATTTGATAGCCTAAGTGTGTTGTTTGGCAGTCTTTGTGTGTCCATCTTAATTAATTTTTAGTATTTGAAAAACAAGTATAGAACATCAGATTAACGAGATCATATATGTCCAAAGTTGTAATACTATTTTATTACTGTATTCATAAAATGAACTTTTGGTTTTTTAAAGTCCAAAGATAAATTCAGTTTTTAAGTACATAAGCCAGCGTATCATCTAACATATGAGGACAAAGTAGAATCTTAGTAGTAAACAGTTTTCAAACTTCACAGATATCTTCAGGGATTGCTTTACTGAGAATGAAAAAATATTAAGGAAAGATTAAAACAATAGCTTAGCCCAGAAGATTTAAATTTAATAAACACACCTATATGTAAAAAACAACAGCTTCTGAAACATAAAACATGTCTAGTCTTACCATAGTTTCTTTCTCAGGCAATATTCCATTCTCCTAGAGTAAAAGTAGTACAATAGTATCTATTAGCATACTTGCCTGTTGTGTGTCCCATCCTGTTTGCTTCTTTTAAGGCTCCCATGTGCTGTACTCCAAGCAGTGAAGTAGACAATCCAAACAGTTTATCATATTGCAAATATATGCATATATTTACTTAAAAAAAAAATAAAAATTAACAATTTGTTACCTAAAACTTCAACAGGGAGGTATACCTGATGATTCGCAATCTTTATCTCTTCCATAGTCCACTTCTCTTTAAAGCTAAGAGAACTAGAAAATACAGTATCGAGGTAAATTTCTAATAAATCTTCGGCACAAGCTACTTTGACTATTCCCTTTTAGGATGCAAGACTCTTACCCAAAAGAGAACTACACTGGGCTTTAAGCACTCACACACTAAAAATTGCCTCAGACCTCAAGGCATTTGACCATAATTTGATGTCAGATAGCTGTTATCACCTGCTTTATTATAAAATTCCTTTCAATTTGTATCATTTCTGTGACTGGGATTAGAATATTGATACTCATTTGTGTAAAAGCTTCAGATGTTCTGTATAGTTTCAAATATCAGAGCAGAAAAGAAACACTGATTAGAAAATTGGAACATGGCATTTTTTACAAATTGATTTATTATAGTTTCTCTGATGAAGGGAAAGGGAAAAAGAGAATTCCTTCCTATATGGATCTGATTTCTGAATGCAGAAGGAGGTGATTTGGTCAGTGACCTTTGCTTTTGTTTCAGTTCTCTGCTAGGGAAGCTCGTGGAGAAACTTCTTGTGAAAGTTTTGGGAAAAAAAAAAAAAACAAAACAAAGCAGAAAAACAACAGAAGGAACTAACATTTCTCAGTGGAAGCTCCTGAAGATTCCTAACCTTTTGACAAACTTCCTTATTTTGAAAAACAATCCATCAGAAAAAAACATCTAGGACAGAGCACCACTGAATGTTGTCTGAACATTAGTACAAAATTCAAATGGAATCGTATCTGTGGTTGCAGACCTTACTGTACCACATGCAACTATGAGCAGCAAGGAATGCCCTAGGAACATCATCACAGTTAGCTCTCCACCAGAGCTACCCTGGCTGCAGCTTGCTGATGAATGGAGTAAGAGAATTCAGAGTCTAGATATTTTTCTAGAAATTAAAAAAAAAAAAAAAAAATCAACCGAAATCCCACGGTAAAACCCTTTGGTATATTTTTGCACCAAGGAGTCACCCCTGCCTCCCACAAAAGAGGGAGCACACTTATGCAAGACCTTTTATTATTAAACCTGGAGTAGGGTCAGAGACTTCAGGTATTCCCCTAGAGACTCCTCCCCTGCCAATGGGTTGACAGTGAAATGCACTGAACTGTATCGCTGTTGAGTGAATGTAAAAAACTTTGAAAACATAGTGTTTCTCTTTCCAGGTGACTCTGATTTATGCCTTTGCCATGTAGTGCTTTGCTTATTCTTAAAGCATCAGAAGATTCTGGTTTAAATGAAATATTGTATTAATAGTTTCTTAAGTTCTTTTAAGCCATTTTCTGTGGAGTTGACCCTGTTTGAGTGAAATGAATGAGAATTTTCCACTGATTTCAATGGACATATAATCAGTGGCTGTAAAATTGCACAAATTAATTACCCTGACGTAATTAGAGATTATACCTTTCTTAGGTATGTAAGCATAACTGTTGTAAGCATGGTAGCTTATTGTACTACATTCAGGGTAAATTAACCTATATCATACTCAGTGTTCAAAGTTTGCCTTAGTATGCAATGCAGAAAAGAGGTCCTTACTACAGTGCTGGCTCATATCCTTTAAAAGCAGAAAACTTCCCCATTTTGAGAGTTCAGTCAGTGTGGGCATTGCTTCAATAGGCTTCAAAAGGCAAACTGCTTTAAAATTTGGTTACCTGGCTCAGAGTACTTAGCATATTCCTACACTGCAAATATTTTCTTTTTTGAATGTTACAATTATGTATCAGGATATTTCAAGCATTAATGACAAAAACTTTAAGCAAAGACTGTAGTTTTGCCAGACAAAGCCCCGTTCCCTCTTTGAATTTAAGATTTTAGGGTCAGTTTACCCTATGCCTTGTAAACACGGTCCTCTTTCTAATGTTATTGTATAATGCAGTCACTTAGGGGTCTTCACTAACATCTGAGAGTGTTGGAGTCACTTAGTACTTAGCTTAACGTTTGAATTTAGCTTATAAATTAAAGGTCTGTGCTAAGATGTAACTGTATAGCTGGAGATCAGGTTTATAAAAATGTCTTATTTGCTTCTCCTTTGAGAAGCCCCATGTTTTAAAATCTTGCTACAAAAATACTTGGAAGGTTATCACAGGTGGAGTTGTCAGAGAAAATGGACATTGTTGTTTGGTGTTAAAATCCTGTATTCCAGATGTGGGCATTTGTTAGTCAGTCTGCTCTAAAATGAAATACTGTTGAATCTTTAAAGGGCTTTAGTTTGGGAAAGCAAAATATGATTGGGCAAATTGCTAAAATATTTAAAGTGCAGCCTGTTAAAGCTTTTACTGAGAAGAGCATCACATCAGAAGTTGTATGTGGTAAAAGCAAGTAATTGGCTTTCCATACTTATGCCAGTCTGTCAGCATGGGGCTCTGTTCCTATCCCTTCTACTTTGTTGCAGATGTTAATAACAACTCCAGTATTTATTTTGGAGGGGTGGGACTGGAAAGGAAAAAAACTTTTATGGATGTGATTGTGTCAGAAATCCCTGTTTAAAATTAAATGGTTATTAGTGTAGAAAAAGTATAAAAAAATCTTCAAAACTGTACCCAGAATTTATTTTTTTTTTTCCTTTTCAGCTTTTGTTTAAAAGTGCCTGTATTGAAAGCATGTTAAAGTGTAAAATGCATCTCATTTTTTTTACTTTTATCCCTCTCTGTACATAGCTCTTGGGATATCTTTCCATCCATAATTCATAATATTTTCCACTTATGTCGTCCTCAACTTGTTTTTCCCCAGGCATGACCCCTTGTTAATTCCTGGCAATGAACAGATTGACAATATGGATGCCAATGTGAAAAAATATGACTCTACAGGGATGTTTCATTGGTGTCCAGCCAAGGACATTGAAAAGGTCATTTTGGTAGGTATTGATGATAAGTTGTGTTGAAAAGAGGTTATTTGAACCATAGAACTGATGTCTAATGGATTAATAAATTAATCTATTCTGTCATTAAATCCAGCATAGCGAAATTTGAAACATGGCATGGTGAAATTGGAGCTAGCATTTTGTTAAAGAATTATGATTATATAAATCTGTATGCCAAGTGCAACAACAAAAATTTGTCCAAAATCAAGATTTTTTTTTTCATAAGATGAAATGTGCATATTTGGTTTAAATATTTGGAGAATTGATTGGAAATATTTAAGTTTACATACCCCATTTATCTCTTTACACAAGGCAGTAATTATTCTAATACAAGCAAGTGTTGCTTTGCATTATCTCTTATTTATTGAGATGAATTTTGCTCTCTTAGAAATTCTCTTTCAATTTCCAACATTTCATGATGCCCGAATAGGCCAGAATAAGTAGTACTACTACTTCGCCTTTCTAGCATGTTGCAGTGAGCCTAGTCTGTGTTTGTTTTGTTTATTTAACTGGGGGAAACCATCAAGCTGACTCAAGTCATTAAAAATAATGAGAAGGCCTATCACAGTCTATTTTGCTCAGTGAAAGTTTGTGCCACTTGTGTACATGTACTTATACCTAGGAGGAACAAGTAACTAACTCCAGATCTCATATGCAAAACTGATGATATTTGAAACGAACTCCCTGGTGGATCTTCACTTTGTCACACTTCATAAAGCTTTTCCTGAACCTGGTCTCTTAGATTTTCCTGCACTATGGCATGGTGTAGCCAACGATGGTGACAGCTCCAGTTTATTCTAGCAATTGGAGCTTAAAAGCCTGTCTCCACTTCTCCTCAGAGGTTTCTGTAATAACCATGACATTGCCTGGAATTGTAATATTGGTGTTTAAACACTCAAACAAGTAAATTCCAAATTCTAGAGACTGAGCTGTGAGACAGAGTTTGGTTGAACATCTTTAAATAGTGTGCATTTTTATGTATTCAGGAGTCAAGGAGGGGCAGCCCTGCTGTACAATGCTTTGTAATAGAGATAGAAATCTGCCTTCATGTTCTAAACACATTTTAGCCAACAATCTTTACATGTTGCCCCACTTTGAAAAGCTTTTCTCCAGAAATGGTGGTGTGCTTCATTTATCATCTCTTGGTGACGCCATGTCAGTTTTTCTTCCTACTTGCCTGTGAATCTACAAGTCTGGCCAGGTTCTTTCTGCTTCATGCATCATCACCAATAAAGACACTGCCAGCAAAATGCTTCCATGCACCTTTTCAAATTCACAGTCCACATTTTATGTCTACATTCATACCCATGCAAATTTAACACTGTCCTTAGAGACCACACCAGTACAAATTAGTACGTGATTTGAAGATTATGGGATTTCCCATGTTGTCTTCTAACTGATACTTGATGATGCCTCAATCAGAAAAGAATTTATCTGCCCAAGGTCTTTTTTTGGTTCTGTGAGATTCCAGCAGTATCAGGTAGTAAGAACTTTTTTTGACACACAAATATACATGGTTATATACAGATCTATGACTGTAGAGTGACATTTTTTACATAATTTCTTTCAAGACTTGGTCTCTGTCTTGCAAAGTCTGAGTATTCCAGACCCATAGTCAGAGTAATGGGACAACTTAAATGCTTCACTTGAGCATTCACTCATGTCTTCTGCTGTTTTTAAAGGGCCAAGGCAACTGTCTTGATAAAGTTGTATGAGAATCATTGTAATTGCCCCAGAGAAACCGAAAGCTCGTGTATTTTTTAACAGATGAGAAAACTTCTAATCAGAGTTCCCATTCTTCTTACACAGTGAACACTGCTGCTGCACATTCCAATATGTATTGTATATTGTCACACTGCCATAATTTAGAAAAAGGACATATACTATCAATAAGTAAGGGGAAAATTTTGCAGTTCACCATTTTCTTAGTTTTATTCATTGGCAAAACTTCTATGAAATGGTACTGAATGTACAGCTTCTTGGCAATATCATATCAGTGGATCTGCAGCTACCTGATGGAATACAATAAAGCTAAGACTGGCTTCAGAAACGAAGGTCATTATTTCCTCATGATTTTATCTAATCATCTTGGTGTTTGAGTTGCCTGCTCAACTGACATTGCCACTGATGAAATTAGTGCAAAAATTTATTCTTGTCACTGAGGCAAGAATATAATTCTGAACACCATTCAAATGTTCTCCATTATACTTTTTTCATTCTGTCTATTCAACAACTCAGCAAGTCCAGCAGGCCTGAAAAGTTAGTATTAGTCATGATCTGCACACTATTTTTTTCTTACCGAGAGAAGCTCTGTGGAGTATGGTGGACATCCATCTTAAAGCAGAGCACTGTAGAGTGTTCTTTGATTGCTTCTCAGGGTGGTAGCAGCTTGCCCTAAAATAAGAACTTTGACTCTAAGACAATATGGTCCTCAACTCACAAGATATGCGTAATACCACAAAACCCTACTAGGACCATTGAGCACTCAAATTTTCCTTTTCAAGTTGGTCCTGAAAAAAACCCACTAGGGATTTGTCAGCTAAGGCATGCTTTTGCACTTCTTTTCTATAATCCTTCTAATGGCTAATTGAATAGGTCAAGTTTTGTTCTTAGCTAAAACCATAGTACTTTGAGTGTAACCAGAGTCTTAATCCACATGTTTAGAAACATATATTTGGTCCGGTACAACGTCTTTCTGAACACAGAAGGATTTGCAAATGAGAACGAAGTTTTCTTCTGATGAGCACAGTTAATGCCAGATAAATAAGGGTAAATGAACAGCTGTTATCAAACTGCTTCTTTGTGCATGAACAATATTGACAATTGTGTTTTTCCTGGTTTAAAACTCAGTTTATGATTTAAGCTTCCCTTTGTTTCATTTCTCCTCTTTTTGTTTTGGTTTTTTTTTTTTTTTTTTTTTTTTAGACTCGAAGTGAAGCAGCGATGACAGTTTTAAGTGGGCACGTAGTTGTTTGCATATTTGGGGATGTTAAATCTGCCTTGATTGGATTAAGAAATTTAGTGATGCCGTTACGAGCCAGCAACTTTCACTACCATGAACTCAAGCACATTGTGTTTGTGGGTTCACTTGAATACCTGAGAAGGGAATGGGAGACACTGCATAACTTCCCCAAGGTTTCAATCCTGCCTGTAAGTCCAATGCCGTATTATTAATACTTTGTTATTTAGGACACCAACTGGACAGATTCGTATTGACTTTGATCTTAGGCTTTTTTACTTCTGTCTACTTTTAGGCCTGAGGACTTAGATTTTCCCTTTACTGTGTGTATGAAAACAGAGCCTCGTGAGACCTTATTAGAAGATATTTGCCACAGTGTTTGTTTCTTCATCATCCTCATCGGATGAATTTCAGCTGCTATCACATATATTAGCTGTGTTATATATCGAACATTCACTGTAGTGCACTGCATGTAGCCAGTTCTGATGTTGTGATTTCCCTGACAGAATGACAGTAGTTATTTATGACATTATTTATGTATTTATACCCACAAAACCTTTGAAAAAAAATATTGTTACTTCATCTACATGTTATCTATCTATAATCATAAAAACTTCCCATAGGCTGACCTACTTTATAAGGAACACTGCCATAGCATTTCAATTCAGAGTCCTGCCATACTCATGTATGGAAGCACGGCAAAACCCTGACCCTCCTGAAATTGATTAAAAGATCCTATTGATTTTAGTAGGGACAACCAGTAAAACCACATTCAGATGTCCTTTTTCTCCTATTTATCATTATCATTCACTCATGTGCCCAAAACAGAAACATGAGCTCCAGGGCAAACAAAGCCCTCCAAGCTAGTGATCTTAGGTGATCATAGCTGTAAATGACCCACAAAGATGCAGGCAGGAGGGAAACAAGCCCATAGTATAAGTACAAAAGAGAATGCTCTGTACGTTACAGAGTAAAGTTAATTGGGATGTTTTTATCAGAATCAAAAATTATTAATTTACCAGTTGTTAATAATTACATTCCAGCAGTTAAATAAATCAATTATGGATGTAACTGGAACTGAATAAATGGGGAAAATAGCTAAAGAACAGAAAGACTATCTTCACTTTTTGATTAATTCAGGCTGTAGGTCTTTGTTACTGTAAATGCAGTTGTAGTGTTAGCCCTTGGCTTTTTTCTGTAAACTGATCAAACAGATGGTGTCACAAGATTCTCTGCTGTCACAAAAATGGTATCAATATCTGATTTGTTCAGTTAATATCCTTCTCTTCCTGCCAATCCCTTTTAATTCCAGTCACTGTGAAGGCTAAAGAGTAAAGAATCAGAATTAACTGTTGAACTGTGGTGCAGAATAGAATCCAGCTACTACTTCCAAACTACCCATTATATAGTGTGTATCCATTATTATAATGAATATTTGTAAGGTTTCAATTCTGAACTCTGAAGAGTCATTAAGGAAATGTGCACCACCTTTACATTCCCCAATCAGTTTACACCCAAGTTTAGAGTGGTTTTGGACTAATTTCAATTTAAACAGCTTAAATAGTTAATGCACCTTTAAAAAAACAGAATATGTAAAGGAATTGTATCTTATACAGTGCTTCAAAGGTGCTGAAGACCACACAGATTTCTTTTTCTTTCTGCTGGAGACCACACAGAATGCTTTTTTTTTTTTTTTTTTTCCCCAGCCTATCTGTTTAAAATGGTTATATAAATTTTAAAATAACAGCATTATTATGCTCTAATTATGCTAATTTAAAAGTCCGGTAAAGGTTCTGAGATCATACTGGTACAAATCATGTTAAAAGGAGGGCACTCAAACTCATTTCTTACTTCGCTGTGCTTTGGTCCACGGGGTAAAACTTGCTGCTGATATGTGACGGGGATGTGGTTACAGCAGGATATAAACCCATTTGTTCTGGAAATTTCATTTAAAATCTGTATTAAAAGAGGCATTTAGGCTGCTGAGTAAACTCTTAAGAAGTAGGCAAATGCCAATTTTAAATATCCTCAGGCAGCCTTAATTCTGTCCCTTTGCATAAAATCGTTAGGAGTAAACCTTTAATTAATTACATGATTGCATATTATTTTTCCCCACAGGAATCCTGCTTCACTTGATGCACAGTACAGACACAAAGGGCAAAATTAAGGTGGCAGGAATAGTTATATCTTAACTTTTGAGTACTTTATAACTAAATCATCTGTTTGATATATACCGTTTTCCACAAGGTTTCATGCATCAAATTATTGAAAGTAATGTGGAATAGTCAGTCTGGTGTCTGAAACTAGGTGGCAATCACTGAATAAGAATTGAGCTCTGCCTTCACTTTGTGCATTTTAAATTCACTTTTGCATTGAATATTCTCAGTGGAGTTCAGGAGACGTTCACCATGAGTGATCAGGAGATGGAAGAGTAGGGCCTTGACTTGGTTTTATGAAAGTCGCTGTGTGACAAGGGGACAGCTTAGTCTCCTCATCATCATTAGGGTCTTTGGGTACCAAACCATGTGAGGCAGCAGAGCAGAATCTAGTTTCCATAAAAAATCTCTTTTTTCTGGGACCTTGCAGCCCCTGTGACAGCCTTAATATTCTGTAACTAGAGATGTGGGCTATTAGATGTGAAAGGCAAGTGTTATCTTTAAACAAAACATAATGCGTTAAGTGTCGTGTCTCAGTTGTGTTAGCTATGAAAAAACCCCATGGACTACCATGACATTTCATTTTTAATTATTGCATTCTCTGATTGAGAATTGTGGAAGCAGGGAATGTTGCATGAGTTGTGCCCATTAAGATAAAGTCTTGTTTCTGTTTCAAAGGATTTAATCACATAACTTTGAAGATCAGTGTGTTTACCTTTTAGAAGCACCAAAAACATGCACTGGAAAGGATTAACCTTTTTTGTGTATAGCTTCAGGTAGAAAAAAATAGTTTTACCCTGATTGCATTTCAAATGTGTAGGACACATAATGCTTTCCTGTTTAAATTGCTCTTCTTTTGCCCAAGACCATTGTGACTTGGTAGTAGATAAATGGACATTTAAAACACACCCCTTGTTATATTCAGAGAGCCAGAGGTTGCCACATGATAGCAACTTAAATCAAGACAATTTCAAGTTACTGATGAGATGTAGAATGCTGGCATTATTCCTGTTTCTTGTTTGTTAGTAATAGCTTGACTGAGTATTGAGACTGAACCTAAAATGCTGCCATCAGCACCAACTACCCTTTAGATTAGCACACATCTCCTATTCCCTGGCACATAGTTAGACCAGCTTAATGTCAGAGCATTAAAAAGATACTTGTTAAATAATTTCCCAAAGCTCCTTCTCAATCTTTAATTTGTTTTTCTTTTTTTCCTCTCCTGCCCCTCTCCTTTTTTTTTTCCCTGCCGAAGGGTACGCCATTAAGTCGGGCTGATTTAAGGGCTGTCAACATCAACCTCTGCGACATGTGCGTTATCCTGTCAGCCAATCAGAATAATATTGATGATGCTTCGCTGCAGGACAAGGAATGCATCTTGGCGTCACTCAACATCAAATCTATGCAGTTTGATGACAGCATTGGGGTCTTGCAGGCTAATTCCCAAGGTAAGGACTGCCCTATAATACTTCTCTGCAGTGCCTACGGGGGACAGGACCTGGCAGGAAGAATATCCCTCACTCAGTAATTCAAAGAGCCCTACATCAGCTTGCTTGACAGTTAAACCTGCTGATTGGTATGATGGCTTTTAAAGGGATAGTCACGTAGTTTCTCTGCTACATCACAAAGCACATCTTGCCAAGGAAAAATGAATGAACGTGAAACTGGCATTTTTTTTTTTTCATTTTAAAATTTTCCTAAAAAAAAATGTAAGATCATTGCTTTCTACCCTTCCCTGATCGGTGGCTTTCTTACCAGGGCAGTTGCTGTTACATGGCCAAAGCTAACTCATACTAATTTCAGAATACCTGAAACTTCTGTCTAACAAGATTTCTTTTTTATGAAAAGCACATTGCAACCACAGAGAAAAAGAGCTGAGTAATACAAGCCAAAAAGGAAAATAAAAAGAATAAGAATTTTAAATTGTCTTTACAGTTCCTGTGTCTTCTTGGTCAAAAATCCACTTAGAATGAACTTGCAGCTGATTTCTTCCCATGGTTTGACATGTACTCATCCCATTTAAGGACACTGAACAAAATCCTTCAGTCTTTGCTTAAAGCAGGGGGCTGATTCATGGGTAGCCAAAGGCTATTTTACACCAACAGTGCCTGTGCAAAGCAGCTGCACAGCAGTCATAGCACCCTGGTAAAGTCCATCCATATAAGAATGATCATCTTCCCACCCCTGAAGGGTCTTGCAACTTATGCAGCTGAAGTCCTACCTTTGATAAACCTAGTAAGTGCTGCAGTAAATATTCCCTCTGGATCTAGCCCTGCTATAAATGTAAGTGTAGAAAGCATAATGCTTTGATCTGCAATTTCCCCATGAGCCTGACCTAGAGACAGTTTTTCCCTCAAGGACCGTGAGAACTAAGATTAAGTTCAGTTTTTCCTCTTTACACTCTAATCAGGAAATAGGAATTATAAGACAAAAATCAGAAGTGGTGGTGTATCTTCTTGAATATGGAAACATCTTGAAAGTGGAAAATTCTTTCTTAGAATCAGCAATTAAACTGTGGAATGTAATACTGGATTTAAATTGTACCAGGAAACTAGAAGCTTTAAATTTCCAAAGTCAGGTTGGATAGTTCTCTGGATAACAAGTGGATTCAGAGAAGACAAAGGAAGTGTTTTTTCGATCCCATGGATGTTTGAAGTTTCAAATCTGTGGCATGAAAGCAATATACCCCCAAATATTTTAGTTCTTCCCTTAAAAATTTGTGAGACTGACTTGCTCACACAATGGTAACTTATAGTCATGATTAGAAAACTCATTGAAGAAGTGCAAGATAGGGATGGAAGTTCCTTGTTTTGCTGATCTAGAACTGGGATTTTAAATTTTTTATCTCAAAACCATATGTGTATTTTTACTACCAGGCTATTGGCTATTCTTTGGTGGATCTCTCTCACTTCCCTATCAACACGTAATTAAAATCATCAAGGAACTGTTTGTCTCACCGCTTTCCTTCCTTCCTTCCTGTTCTTGAGCATGGGCAGTCTTAGAGAATTTCCTTTTTGTGTCTTTGCTCAGAGGTTAACGATATTTCCAACACTTGGCTGTTCTATTTTACCTCTGGGACTACACTGGATCTTAGACCATCCCTGAATGAGGATGGAAAACCTCAGCAATAAACAGTCTTGTGCATCACATAAACACCTGTAATTTTTTACTCTCCATCCTTGAAGGTATTCAAGACCTAACTGCATAAAGCCCTGAAGAACCTGGTCTGACCTCACAGCTCACCCTGCTTGGAGCAGGAAGTCAGACTAGAGACCCTCTGATGTTCCTTCCAGCCTAAACTGTTCTATGATTTTATAATATCCAGGTTGCTGCTACAGCATAGCCTCTATAGGTCATGAAGTGTAGACTGGGGCCATGGTCCCAATCCTTTCAGCCCTATTCAGTGTTGCTGACGTAGAGAAGCAGAGGTACAATAGGTTAGCATGTACTTAGAAATTTTGGATATTTCTTCAGGTAAATGTCAGTCTGCATGTTAAAAAAAAAGGTGACTCTAGCTTTTCTGGGGAAGCAGGGCATAACGTAAGGCAGGTAACCAGCAGCTTTTGGGAGCACTGACTAGGGAGCGGTTCTTCTAAAACAAGTTGCTTCAGAAAATACTTACCTTCCCAGTAAATTCTCTGCTATGGCATCCACAAGACCTTAGTGGGTTGCATTGCTTTCAGTACAGTAAATTTTCTTGAAAGACCTTGAATACAATGCTTAGACTGTCAGAAGCAATTAGATCAGTAGACAGCACAAACTTTACTGGAAATTATATCCAATGTGACATTTTTGTCTGTGAAATGCAGCTTTAACATATGGTGGACACGACTATCATGACAATTACATAAACCAGGTGATTCAACTTGTGCTGGTCAGCAAGCAGTATACTAAAATCACTTCACAGCTCCTTACTGGTAATTAAGTACCTTTATTTACAGAGTGAGTTCTCCTTTTACTTTTGCTTAAACTTTTGTGTATTATTTGACATATTTATGCTTAACACATTAGCTGGTACAAACCTTAAGTATTGCCAGTCTAAATTTTTCTAGATCTGAATGTATGATTTTGAGTTAAGACATTCCTCACCAACATCAGCCTTTGAAAGAGTGATCTGTGCTGTTCTTTCATGTGACTCCTGTTACTGATCATAGGAAACACTGACATTAGAAAATCTGGGTGTGTGGAAGAATGTCAGTTGACCTGTGACAGGGTGTTGAAAAGAGAAGAAACAAAACAAAATATGTGAACAGCCTGAGAAACATATGGGCTAAGATGCAAGATTTTTGGTGAGGGAATTAACAGTGTAATCTAACCCTTGCTATTCTAAGTAATAAGCTAGTATAATTCTGTAGTCACTAAGCAGTGGAATCTCATATGAAAACCTGATATATAATTTATGTTTATGCCTCTGAAAACACAAAAAAATATATTTAATTGATATGTTATTGAATGCACAAGGATCTTTCCAGTTTTTATCTGTGATGATTTCACTCCAGCATCAGACAAAATATGACACCAGTACAAAAATTGTGCCATAAAAAGCAGGATGCAGATTTATTTTACTGTCAGATAAACCATAATCATTGGCTGGTGCTGAAGTACAGGGCCATATCTATAACTCCTTTGTTCTAAGTTGGTAGCAGAAAAAGAACCCACAAATTTAGGGATTTCATTACTCTTTCCCCAGAGCCTCACACTCATCACCTACTTTAACATTGAAGTCAAACCCAGTCCTAGGCATAGAAACATTCAATAGCCAGTCTTTTGTACCCATCCAAACATGCCCTCTCCAACCAGGGACATAGCACTGCACCAACAACTGAACCTGGATGCAATCTGAGACCAAAGGCCTTGTAGAAGGAACAGAAGAGTGCTCATATGACAGCAAGGCTTACTGATAGGGAAAGTTCTGTAACAATAGGGCTGCCAGTTCCCAATGGATTAAGTGAACTGCTGAAAGAAAGTCTACTGAATTAATCTGCTTTATATCAACAAAGGATTTTCTCATTACTAGTTCAAGATGAACTTAATGTGCACACAGCAGTTCTCGTGCAGAAACAAAGACTTCCTAGTGTCTCCTTATAGTGTTAAAATATTCCCAGGCTTTTGGACTGGGTAGCATTAATTATATGGACCTTCTGTAAGTGGTGCAACAACACTTCCGTCCTCTGCTCTGCCTTCCTTGAGTCCTAACTGATCATCCCAGAATTACATCTTAGCCAAATGGAGTGTTCTGCCTTGACCTCCTGAAGAAGAAAAAAATAGCTCACAGTTCCTAGGCACAGAAAAATTATTCTAGACCAGAGCTGCAAAGGAACCTGGAGTACTAAGAGGGGGTGACAGTAAACTATTTAAGTTGTGAAATCTATGTTCATCATCAGCGATCTAGAAACATATGACCAAACGCATGACTACATAATAATGTGAATGGAAACAAGGTGTCTTCCTTAGAAGGAAAAGTTTACTACCTGTTCTGGAAGGATTTGCTAGTGTCCTTTCCATAAAATGTGCAATTCTACTTGAACAAAAAAAGCTTTCAAATTGGACCTGTGTTTTTGAAAGTTCTCATTGTTGAAAGCATTCTCATGGCTGCCTGCACTGAATGTTTCAAAGCTGACTGTGGCACCTCCTTAGGATCGCTAGAGGTTAGGCGTGTAGACTCTGATGACCTGAAACTGATTTTTTGGAAATCATCAGAGCAGTTTGTTGCCTTTTGGAGACCTAGATTCCAAGGACAGAAAGGCCAAAGTGTTTCCCACTGAAGCTGCAGCAAACTATCGCTTTCATTAAGATGTCGCAGCTTCTGAGATACAAAATGCTATAAAGTCAGAGTGTGGCCCACCTCATCACATATTAACTTATAAACTCAGTCAAATGTTTTCTTTGTGACAAGAGAAGTCCTGATTTTATCTTGCAGTTCCACTAATAAATGTTCACTCATTGTCTTTCTAGAAAGATTTGTAAAGAGGTGTGTTTGTGGTGGAAAAAAAAAAAAGGTCACCTTCAGATACTGGAGATTTGTTTTTATTGTCCTTTGATCTTTCTTGCTTCTCATTCTATCCCTTCAAATACAAAGTGAGATTTTTATCAAGAAATATTTTGGAGAGAAGATCAAAGAATTTTAGATCCATGTTAAACATTTGTGCTCCCTAGTCATAACTTTTTTCCAAAACACCTAGAAAGGTTGAGTCTGGGATGGGCTCTGCCTTGGCACTTAAGTTGGGAGAGCTCCAGTAATTCACCTTCCCTTCATTTTGTTGACCTTTACATTCTTTCCTCTTCGAGTACCATCAGTTGATGGTTCCCATTTAGTTTTTCATGCTTCTTGTATTTTCTTTGAGAGACTTTGTGGGAATTTTACTTGTTTTACCCACCAGGTGAACAGGGCTCAACACAAAATATTTTTCTTCAGTTGTAACTAAAACTGCTATTTGGCTTTCTTCCC